CTGGCTGGGGAATTCTGGGAGTTGAAGTCCACTCATCTTAAAGTGGCCAAGTTTGGACAACACTGGTCTAAGAGAATGGCCGAATAGTGACATCATTGGTAGCATTGTGACACCCATCTGGATATGCTCTTATAACTTCTGGTGCTCTTGCATTCATAGAGAACATCCAGACCCAATTTCTGAGATCAGCTGTAACTTCATTGCATGCTTCTGCTTGCTGGCTGTATCAATTACATAGGAAGCTATATTTGGAATGGTTCCTCTGTGATGGTAGTGTAATTTTAGCCTAGGAATGCATTTCACTCATCAGGCACTACTACTTTGAGGAGTAGAGGACTCTGCCTTATAATAAGTCGGGTTATTTGTCCATCAAGCTCAGCATTGTCTACTCTGGTTATCAGAGGCTTGGCAACAATTGAGAAAGAAGTCATTCCCACCATTTTAAAACTATGGCTAATTTTGTTTTTTCTGTGATTTGTTGAACAAGTACACTGGACTGGTTCACATATAATGCTAAGCCCTCTATGAACAGCAATGGCTGGGTTCGCATACCACACTAAGTCAAAGCCAGAGAAGCCACATTATGGCATATCACATTGGACCCTAAAGAGATAGGTTCCTACACTTTCTGTGGATTCCCCATTCTAGGTGATAAAGTAATTTGTTTGGTTTTGATTAGCATCCTGTATGAACCCATAAAACCCAGTTTGGTATAGTGGTTAAAACATCAGGCTAGAAACTGGGGGACTCAAAAAACTTTAGTGGCAACTTCACTGGAAGCCTTCTGAAAGTCCAAGTAAACATCCCCTCTTTTGCCTCTCTCCTGATACTTTACATTCTCAACAAACTCTGAAATAGCCAGGAGGCAGTTTTTCTTTACAGGAACTATTATGGTTGTCTTTAGCAACAAATGTGTTCCAAGAACAATGCCTTTTAGTAACAGGAAGTGAAGCAGGAAGTGAAGATTGGATAATTATGCCTCATTTCATTCGTAAACTATTGGAATTCCCCCGCTTGCTATTAAGTTCTACAGAATGGTGCAGATTTTAGACTGTAGATTCAGTGAGGTTACAGGACCCTTCTCTATTTAGCCATGATTCAGTTATGAAGCCCGCAATAAGTACCATTTTGTTTGGGAATAAGTATTAATTGTATTGGAATAAAGGACAATGTATTTTAAAAGAAAAAAAAATGAATACACTTGTCAGACCAGCAGACCAACTGAAGATTTTTTTTTTTTAAAAAATTATTGTAAGGAAGAATGCTGGACATATTTGCTGTTGCCTTTATCACCTGTTGCACGATAATAATTTGCATGTTTTTGACAATGTAATATAGATTATAGTCAATCATTTGGGACCCCTTCAAGTTTAGCTAAGACACATGCCTTAGGTACACCACTGGATCTAGAACTACTCCTGGAAAAATACCACCCCATAAAGAGCATCACGGCATAAGCATCACAGTAGTAAATGAGCTTTATTGCTTGATGAACAATAAAAGTGGTCTGTGCTCTTCTGGATGAAGATTCAGTTAGATTAAGGGTTGCCAACTTTTTGATCTAGGTGGTGCAGCTAGAGGTCCAAATTCACTGCATGTTCCCTTTGATTATGTGCCATCAAGTTGTTTTTGACTCCTAGCAACCACATAGATTGTCATGGAGAAAACCTATCCCTAATCTGTTCTTTCAAGTCTCCCAATGGTACACCCATTGCCACTGTAACTGAGCCCATCCACCTTGCTGCTAGTTGTCCTCTTCTTCTCTTTCCTTCCACTTTTCCCAGCTTTAGAACTTTTTTCCAGAGAGCTGGGTCTTCACATAAGGTATTTGAACTAGGATAATTTAAGCCTGGTCATTTATACCTTGAGTGAGAACTCTAGGTTGATTTGTTCCACAATCCATTTGTATGTTTTTTTGGCTGTCCATGATATTCTCAGGAATCTTCTCCAACACCAAAGTTCAAAGGTGCCAATACTCTTCCTATCCTGCTTCAAAGTCCAACTTCCACTTCCATAGAGCGTCATGTGGGAATTCCATGGCTTGCATGATTTTGATCTTTGTAGGTATAGATACATCGTGGCATTTGAATATCTTTTCCAAGGCCTTCATGGCTGCTCTACTGAGTGCTAGTCTGCAGTGCATTTCTTGACTGCTTGTTCCTTCACTGTTGATGGTTGATCCTAAAAGACAGAAGCTATCCATCACTTCAATATCTTCATTGTCCATTCTAAGGCTGGTTGTTCTACCTGTTGTCATTAGTTTGGTCTTCCTTATATTTAATTTTAGCCCTGTTTTTCTCACTGTGTTGACTTTAATACTAAGGCTTGCAAATCCTTTGCATTTTCAGCTGTCAGAATAGTATAATCAGCATAGTGCAAGTTATTAATGCTTCTTCCTCTAATTTTATAACCATGCTCATCTTCCAATCCAGATTCCCTTAATATATATTCAGCATATAGGTTGAATAAATAAGGGGAGAGGATACAGCCTTGTCACACTCCTTTGCCAACCTGCCTTTACTGTGGCTTCATGACCTGTATATAAGTTTCTCATGAGGACAATGAGATATTCTGGGATTCCCATTTTTCTGAGCACTTTCCACACCTGCGCTATTCAAGGGAACTTTCTTCCTGCTCCGGGTGTTTCAGATAGCAGCTGGAAGCAGGTGGCTCACCCTTGGTTCTCCACGGCGAAAGCCAGCAGCCAACGCTCAAAGCGAGGACGCGCCAGTTTGCAGGCGCGGCGGCCCGCCTGCTCGCTTCCAGCCACGCTTTGCGAGCGCTCCTCCGCAGCAGCCTGAAAACAAACCCTGAGATGCCGCCAAGAGCAGGAAGGCGGGGGACACAGCAACCGCCCAATGCGTAAGTCTGTGCGCGTTCGCCATTGGACTCGGCCGAGGGTGGGTCGGAAGGCGCCTCTCCCGGAGGCTGAACCGCGGTCGTTTCTCCGCGTTGCATCACTCGCTGCGCAGTCCTCCCACCGCGCGACGGGGCTGGCTGTCGGAGGGAAGGAAAGAGGCTCGCTCGGAGCCGCAGCCGCCACTGGGCCCGCGAGCGAAAGAAGGCGGGCCACGAGCTCTCCTTATAGGTCGGGGCTGCGCCTTTCGCCTGGGGCTTCGCCAGCCAGGAAAGCGCTCGAGAATTCGCCGGGGCAGTCGCGCCGACGTCGCTCTGCAGCGATCCCAGGTGGGAAAAGCCGAGGGTCCCGCGGGAGACGCTGCGCCTGCCGCCTGGGGCTGCGCCAGCCAGGAAAGCGCTCGAGAATTCGCCGGGGCAGTCGCGCCGACGTCGCTCTGCAGCGATCCCAGGTGGGAAAAGCCGAGGGTCCCGCGGGAGACGCTGCGCCTGCCGCGTAATTGCGCATCGCCTCCAAGAGCCCGGCGAGGTGCCAGGTACTGTCAAGGCAAGAGCCTGCGCGCTCTCCATTCATCCTGGGCGAGGCCGCGATTCTGGTGCTTGCTCGGTCTGGTTGAAGGCGGGAAGCCGCGTATGTGGAGCACTTCGGGGGTCCCCAACCAAAACCTTCCTCAGGAGGGGATGCTCTGCGGTGGAGAACGGGGTGGGGCGCTGGCTCGCCTCGGCCCTTCCGCGCATGCTGAAAAGTAGCCTTTCCTCCTTGTCTCTGTCGTCTCGTGGTCACTACGCGGATACGCCAGAGCTGCCTTAAGTTGCATCAGTCCGCTGCCTCATTACTTACCCTTGGAATAATCGGTGCAGCGGTAGGGAAGGCACCGAAGGTTGCATCTTCGCTTAAGATTGCTCCTACCTAACAACACAGAAGCATTCCCACATATCCCCAATCATTTGAGGGGGGCAGATTCGAGGGCCACCTGCACCTCTCATCCGGTTCTTGCAATGGGGGGCGTCAGATTTCAAGAAAGCATCTTTTTACTACTAGTATTAAATGTTAATGACCTAGCAATTAATTTGAAGTGTTTTAAATATTTAAATGTTAAATATTTCCAATGCATTTTCCAATTATTACTTCAAATGCATTTGGAGACTGATCCGTGGGGGTGGGGTGGGGTGCTTGAATAAGGCCACCTAATGAATTTAAGCGCCTCGCCTCCAGTCTTGCAAAGGTACACTGCTTCTGAACGTAGAGGATTCATTTTCCTGCCGTGCAAGCACGAAAACAATTACCATCCTGTCCCCGGTAACGATCATTTATAAGCTCCTTGTAATGCCTCTCTCCCGCTACTCTAAATGCGCACCCTGTTCAGCAGCCCTATTAAGTTCAACGGGATTTCCGTCCCGTTGTATAGCAGCCTTTTGCAACCTGGGGCCCTCCAGATGTAAACGTCACTTCCCACAGTTCCCAGTTTGGATGCTTGGGGATTGTGGAGTTGCCGTCCGAGCCATCCCAAGAGCGGAAGATTGTACATGGCATTAGAGTTGAGCTACGCTGGGATATAATTGATAACAACCCACTAGCATTAATTTGCCACTGGTCATCCACGCTTAGTTCTTTACAGTCCTCTCTTACTCAACCCTCTTATGGCGTGGCTGATGTCCAGGTGGTTGAGTGGCGACGCCCTCCTGCTTCTCTCTCTCCGCGCGGATTTCCGCGGTTTGGGAACGCGCTGCCTGGCGAGATCCTTCCTCTCGGGGAGAAACGAGTGTTGGAGGCGACCTGGGAGCAGGAAGGTGCCGCGCCTCTGCGCGAAGGCGCGGGGATGCGAGAGGGAGGCCGCTCCGGTTATTTCAGGGTGCAGCGGACGGAGAACGCGGAAGACGCCCACCTCGTCTTTCCCCGCCGGAGGAGGCGCGGATGGCGCTCGCTTCGCCCCGAGAGGAGGGCCGAGCAGGCGAGGCTGCGCCACGGCGAGGACTTGGAGCGAGACCCTGGAAGGCGGTGCCCAGGGAAGGCTGGGCTCCCAGCCTGAAGCGCTGATGCTGCTGCGTGGCTCGCCCCCAGAGGCGCGCCTCGGTGCTTAATCTCCCTTCTCTCTCGACGCGTGAGGAGGCGCCTGGCTCTGGTCGTCGGGACCGGGAGCTCTCGCCCTTCGCATGGCGCCGTTCGCGGTGTTCCAGCTCCCGTTTTAGCCTAGCGGATTATGCGAAGCCCGCCGGGGGCGGTCATGGAAATCCACGATCTGGAGTTAATTTAATTTCACCCTGGTTACCTTAATCTCTGGCAGCTGTTGTGTGCAATCAGTCACAGTCAACCTTCTCCCCAGCTTGAGTTACGGTCTCGTTTTTGGCTGTTCCCAGGGCAGAGACTGCTAAGTGGCAAAGACATCCCAGAAGTTGTCTCAGGCTTGACTTGACTAATATATTGCCAAGACGACAAAAAACAGACTACAGCTTACCTCCCCCCCCCCATTAAAAAATACAGAGGAGAACATGGGCTGTATCATAGTTTCAGACTCACTGGCATCAGGGTGCTGATATCTGTTGTGCTTTACAACGTTGATGCTCAATTATTAAATACTTGTAGGAGACGTGGGGAGGTTTTGGGTCTCTAAAAGCTGCTGAATTATAGCCCCCAACATCTTCCATTGCTGGCCATGCTAGCTGGAGCTACTGCAAGTTCACAATTCCTGGAGCACTACTGGTTCCCCCACCCTGGTGTGTGAAATTGCGATATAGTACAGTTGCAGTCAGCTCACCAATACAAGGTAACTTGCATTACAGTCCAGCCATTGTTTTTAATATTCAATGTTAATATGGTAATTCATTTTAATAATTTTGGATACTCCAAGCATGGCACATGTAATACCTTTGCTGTGGGAGAATGTCGACTGGTGGGGTCCAAGAGGAGAGCCTTCTCTGCCTGACTGGGTGGGACACTCTTCCCCCAGAAGTGAGGTGGGCCCCCACTCTCCTGGCCTTCTGCAAAGGGCTGAAGATCTGGCTCTGCCAACTTGTGTGGGGTGAGTGGGGATATAACCAACCCTCGGGATGGCTAGTGCCTTGAAGATGCTCCCTGAGTCTAATAACTCCTTGGAAGATATTTATTATTTATATAGGAAGTCTTCTTGTAAGGTATTTTAATTCGGATTCTGTTTTAACTAATATTTATTCTTTTCACTCTAAACCACCCAGAGTTGCTCTCCAGTGAGATGGGCAGTGACAAATTTGAAATATAAAATAAATACGTATATAAATAAATTAAAAATATTATTTTTTGTTGTCTAAGAGCTAGAAAAAGGAATTCCTTAAACTTCTTTTGCTGATTACCATATACCAGGATGAATAGAAACATCCCTTTGCAATTTTTCCAGCCCTTCACACACATCCTATATAGGCCATGCTATTATTTGGCTAGTCTTGTTCCTCTGATTCAGGATTGGATATTGTAAAAGCAGCTGTACAGATCCCAAGTTCTAGTAGACATGTGAAATTTTGAACAATACTTGCAAGTACATTCTTGAAGAACTGAGTCATACGCTATAACCAGCTTATTTGCATTCCAGTCTTTGAGATATTCAGAAGGCCATATCAGTCGTATCTCTGAATTGCATGACTCTAAATAATTATGTGAAAGAAGAAACCTATATTTTCCATCACTTATGTCTTTGGAAATTTTCAAAACAGTTAATCAAGTTTGAAGGAAAGTGATGGGGCTATGAAGCAAAGAAAGAAGCAGTTTTGTGTTTTTTTTTAACTTAGTGAGAAGTAGATTTTCTTTTTAACACAGGGATTATTCCCCCTCCCCCTTTGATGTCACTAAAATGTTTCTGAGCCTAAGAGAGGCTTTTTTCATTTTCTTTTGGAATATATAGACATCTTCCTGAAGAATGTCCATTTGTCATGCTTGGTAGGTTTTGGCAAGCAAGGTCACTGCTCTGATTTCCCCACCTCCCTCTTGTGTAGCTTTTAAAAAACTTCCACTAAACTTATCTTAACTCTTTAGGTGTTCCCTTAAGTTGTTCTTTCTCTTGAGCGGTGACTGGAAGATTCTACTCTCAAGGCAGAACTACCACAGATTACTTAAACAATATTCTTACAATGGCAGATCAAGCATTATTTTACTATCCCAGCTGAGGTTAAACCAACCTTGGTACTCTAAATTCTCAATAACAGCATTCCTGGCTTGGGGCAGTTTTGAATTGTAATAGATGCCTGGTTGCCAAAAAATTGTTATTGTATTGCAGATGAATGAACAGGTTGACTTGAGGGATAGAGAGCGCTATTTCTTGGCCTAGTAGAGAAACACAATGGTCAGGGAAAGGATATCCACCACAGAGATGTAGTAAACCATTTCAGGAAGAGTAGAGGTCTCGATTCTCATTTGGCAGACCACACCAGTCCTGAAAATACATACAAATATAAAAATATGAGAGCCAATTTGGTCTAGTGGTTAAGATGATGGAGTAGGAGCAGGGACACCTGAGTTCTAGTCCGGCCTTAGACACGAAAGCCAGCTGTGTGGCTTTGAGCCAGTCACTCCCTCTCAACCCTTGGAAGAAAGTAATGGCAACCCCTTTCTGTAAATGTCTAGTCCCTATAGTTAAACTGACTTGGAGGAAAATATATGAAAATAAATCTCTCACACACAAAAACCTAAACACACACATTGCACATTAGTAATTTTGCAAACTTGTTTAGGGCCTTTTCGACATGGCTGAGTTAATGCTACCCACTCATCCCTGAGCTGGCAGAAGACTAAATGCGTGTAACATTTATTAACCCTGCCACCAATCCCTATCATGCCTTTATAGCTTCTGTTCTGACTTGCTGCCAAATAACAGTGTCCTGATTTCAAATGTGGAGGAAGTATGAAGGAAAGCCCTTGGTGAAACTCATTGGCTTAGCTGCTCTCACCTCTTCTAAACGTTACCAGCTGGTGGGAAACAATCTGCCCATCACCGTATTGGTGTGTTTGGCAGATGGTATTGACAGATGACTGGACTTGAGTGTCTAGTTGTCTGTTAAAACTCTTCCCAGGCCTGTGGGAGAGGTAATCCTGGGTGTGGTGGGGGAGACCTGGGAAGGATCACCTCTCCCACAGGCCTGGGAAAAGTTTTAACAGATAGTCCTGCTTTATGGACAGTTCCCCCAGCCTCATGTTTATCTGTTCGGTAGGCTTGTTTTCCCACTGACCCCACACTCAGAGCAAGCTTGAAGGACAGATGATCTATGGGATGAGGTGGGAACTGTCCAGTAAAGCTGCCCCCAGCCCCCAACAGCTTGAAGGGGGTTGGGAGTTGGAGGTAGCTTTACTGGACTTGGGCCTTAGACCATTTTCTCCTTATTCATTTAACAATTTCCAGTTGGCTGAGTCAACAGAACACGTCATGCCAACAAATCATGGTTTATCAATCATGGGTTACGCACATAACATGTTAAGCTGAGGCCAAGCAGCCAGTTTACAGCTTTGCTGTTAAAGAACCTGGCCAGCAAGAATTTCCATGGAAACCACTTGCATATTGCTGCCTAGAACAAGAGCATGGACTCCCCAGGAGCTGATATCAATTGGTGAGAGACTTTATCTTTTAATTATACGGGGGGCAGATGTTCTGGATCTCAACTCTATGATTTTTCTTTCCTCAGGCACCTCTTTTAGCGGGGGACGTTTTCCAAGCCAGCTTCCGTTGTCTTGTTCCCCATCACCTTCTCTGGAATTAAGTTATGTCCACGGCTGCTTTAATCAGTCTGGTTCGAAACAGCGGCCGCCAACTGCCGAGAGCCTTGCTTACATCTCGTGCAATTCGCCACCACAAGCGCCAGATTTCCACCAGTGACTCCAGGGCTTCGCGTTTCGATATGGATGGGAGCGGCTGCCCTGCCACATGGGACTCCTTTGGGATTTGGGACAACCGCCTGGAGGAGCCCATCTTGCTCCCCCCCAGCATCAAGTATGGGAAGCTGATTCCCAAGGTCAGCCTGTCGAATGTGGGCTGTGCCACCCATATTGGGAAACGGAAGGAAAACGAGGACCGCTTTGATTATGGCCAGCTGACTGAGGATGTCCTATATTTTGCCATTTACGATGGGCATGGCGGGGTGGCAGCCGCTGACTTCTGCAACAAGTTCATGCGAAAGTATATTCAGTGAGTATAGGGATTCTTTGGCTTTGCGAGGGAAGGAGAAAGACATTCAGTGCTTGGTTCTTCGTCATATCATTAGGTTTTTGCCTTATAAAATGTAAATCTACCCACTGGGTGCAGAAGCCGTATTTATGGCTTAGCATGATGTAGGAATCCAGCCATTAATTTAGTCAGTGAGCCCAGCCTAGACTGGCTTAGTGTGAAAAACTGGCTTA